TATTGCATTGACAACTACTGATTTTTTGCATAACTATACCTAAGATTTTTTTATGTTACTTATTTTTAAAACTTCAAGACAGAAAAAATTAATTGTAAATAATACACATCTCAAGCGTTTATTAAAATTTTACTTGGAATTATAACTTAAAAGTAGGCGCCAAAAATATATTTTTGTTTTATTTCCATCCTTAACACTGACCACTACTGATTCATTACCTTAATTATGTTTAGGAAAAAGTTCTTTGACCACCTAGCTAATAAATGGAACTTGTTTTATTATCTTATACTCATTATATGTTTCCTGTATATTATAGTGAATCATTTATTTATAGAATTTACTATGAGTCATTTCATTTTGAACTCAATGAACAGGAGTTCAGTGATAAGGATAATATTTAAATTATTTGTGCCTGGTTGTTTTGTTTATACATCACCAGTGGAAATAAGCCTATTTTGAGTTATTGATTTCCTTTTGTATAATCCACAACTTCCTGTGGCTTCCAAGCGCTTAAATCAAATATTTAATTTAAAAATTAAAAAAACAAATTAACTAAATAATCATTATTTTGTAATGTTTATCACTAAATGAGAATAGTATAAGGAAAACACAAAGGAAAACATTGACATTAGAAAAACTCAAATTAGACTTCCAGCAACATCAGTATAGACCAGAAAGTAACAATTCTCCCAAGATACTCTTTGATACAGGTATCTAACAATGGCTTTTGGTAAATTAAAAAAAAAAAATTAAACATAAGATTAAAAGTCACATTTTACTAATATGTATAGAACAATATACAGTGGTGAGTGCGATATCACCCGGCATTTTAACGTAAGAGATAGAAAACACAGTTACCTTGTGAAATAAAAGGAGATGAAACTCGTAGAGGTGGGAAATAATCGATAGAAACCTATAATTTACATTACATTGCATTACCACCATCGACAGTCTCACACCTTTAGACGTTGGACGTGGCTATTTGACTTCAGTCATAATTATACGGATACCCTCAAAAATATTTTATTTTAATAATTTCTGATGTTAGAATAAATACTTGAATAAATTAAGATATGTTATAGTAAAAAACATTCATTAGTAGCGATTTTAAATTATAAATCTTTAAATTTACTTAATAGTAAAAATAACTCAACTGAAATATTTGACTAAAATAAAGGTGGGTATGTTTTGTCTGGAAACACTTAATGTATGTGAAATTGGTGTAGTCGTTAGGGACGTTGTCTATTGACGAGAAAATTGGGGTTCAATTCCACACCAAGGATAAAATTTTTGTTTTATCAATAAAAAAATAATAGAAAATATGATACATATTAGGTAACAAATTTTCGAAAAACTCATTATTTACAATTTATTTTTATTCCAATGTTATAAAACGGAAATACAAAATGATTCAAATTCAATTCATACAGTCTTCAGTTGTGAATGCAAAATAATCCGGTGAAGACTGTTTATATCAAATCCATCACTAAATTCTCAATGTTAATATCAATTCCTCTGTACAGATAATGATTTTCAAAACAATTGACAACATTGGAATGGATGCGCGCGAAGCAAAGCCTTTAAGCCATCAAATAATAACATATCGAGAAGTGTTTTTGCACGGTAAACAGAAACTTTTTATTGAAAAAACAATTCGTAAAAATGGTTTTAACGGTCGAGGAAAAAGTGCAAATTGTTGTCTGGCATGTGAATGGATTCTCAGACAACATGATTAGACAACAATTTGTAAATATGTTTCCAAATAGGCCGGCTCCATCACGATCAACAATTCAATCTATTATACGTAATTTTTTTACTTATGGATCCGTGTTCGCTCCAAGAGGAGTTCGTAGGCGAAGGGAGGTAAATCCAGATTTGGAACTAAGAGACACTTTGATTTGTGCAAGTATTGAGCAAAATCCTACCCAATCAACATCTCGTCTCGGAGAACAATATGGAATTTCAAGATTTAGAGTTGGTAAAATTTTGAAAAGGCATGGATACCGACCCTATAAACTTCATAAATCCAACGAACAATTCCCTGGGGATCAATATAGACGTTTAGAATTTTGTCAAACTGCAATGGAAATGTCACATCAAGATGAACATTTTTTAGAGAACGTCTTGTTCACCGATGAATGTACGTTTTCATTGCATGGCCGTCACAATTCAATGAATGCTCGGTATTGGTCCCGAGGAAATCCTCGTCAGATTTATGTTGCTCGTACCCAGCGTCCTCAAAAAGTAAATGTTTGGGGAGGCATAATAGGGAATCATGTCATTGGTCCATTTTTTATAGACGGTATGTTGACTGGGCGGAAATACTTGGAACTTCTGCAAAATCAAATTGTCCCAGCCCTTCGTAATTTACCAATTCCTTTCGATTCCATATGGTTTCAACACGATGGTTGTCCTGCACATAATTCTCGCATCGTCAGTGAATATCTCAGTGCGACTTTTCCTAATCGATTGATTAGTGGACACGGAGATATTTTTTGGCCTGCAAGATCACCTGATCTTGCACCTTGTGATTTTTTTATGTGGGGATATATCAAGTCCAAACTATATGGAATTGAAGACGATAGGCCTAATTCTCTCCAAGAATTAAGAGAAAAGATCTTTGATTCAATGAGAGGTATTAGTCCAGAAACATTAACTAATGTTAGACGAAACTTTTATAATAGATTGGGTTATTGTTCTGCTGCTAATGGAGGCTTATTTGAACATTTTTTGTAAATATAATTCATTAGAATAAAATACGTTTATTTAGAATATTTTTATAGAATTTCTGCTTATTTAAACATTTTTTGTAAGTACATTTATTTAGAACGTTCTTTTATGTTTGAAGAATTTTTACTTTATTTTAGAAAGTACATTGTTTTTTCAATAAGATTTTCATGTTTTACTATAAACACTTCTAATAAAGACTGAAATAAATGTTTTATGATTTAAAGCAAAACGATATAATATCTGCATAATTTCAAATTTTTAAAAAAGTAAAAACTTTTTGTAGGATTTGAACCCTAACCGCCTGCATGAGTACATCGTGCCTTCAGCCCTGATCTATCAGACTTTTATAATTCTTTAGTGACAGTTTGGGTTATTATTCTGCTGCTAATGAAGGTTTATTTGAACATATTGTAAATACGTTTATTTACAATATTTTTTTATTTTTGTAAAATTTTTACTTATTTAAACATTCTTTTAATTTTGAAGAATTTTACTTTAGTTTCGAAAGTACAACGACACTATTTTTTCAATAAGATATTTATGTTTAACTTTAAACACTTCAAATACTAGTAACGACTGACATAAATATTTAGTGATTCAAAGCAAAACGATCTTTGCAAAATTTCAAATTATTAAAAAAAGAAAAAAGAAAACCTCATGTAGGTTTTGAACTCTGATCATCTGCGTCGCAGAGTCGAATTCTTACCACTAATCCACGAGGGATTGCTAATTATTCTGTGACAAGAGTGTATGAAACTCCTAAAATCATAGTAGAAATTATTCTTGGTTAATAATTTAAAACTTTAGAATAAATAATCACTATTAATTAAATTATTTTATTCACATTTTTGCTTTATTGTGGTCAATCAGTTTTTACTTTATCTAAATTAAAAAATGGAAATACGTCACACATACGACGTCAAACTGTCAAACATAATAATTATGACCGAGGTGATTTAGATCGAAGGTAACGTCTAAAGGTGTGAGACTATCGATAGTCGTAATGTAATGTAATGTAAATTATAGGTTTCTATCGATTATTTCCCACCTCTACGAGTTTCATCTCCTTTTATTTCACAAGGTAACTGTGTTTTCTATCTCTTACGTTAAAAAGCCGGCTGATATCGCACTCACCACTGTATAAACAATTTAAGATTGCTATTTGATTTTAAATTCCCTCTCTAGAGGGAATTGAAAAAGAACTAGAGGAAAGAGAAATCTCTCCAGGCCTCTGGTTAAATAGATAAGAATGGCAGTCAGGAGTCGCAAGACATCGGAGAACACTGTAAACTGATAGTAGTAGTAGTAGTATTTGATTTTAAATTATAAAGACGAAGATCAGTAAATTGTATATGAAGTGACACAATTTTACTGAAAAAGTATAGAAAATCCTTTGGAAATTTATCTTATATATTCCTTGTTACATAAGCTTATGTTTGTTTTTCTTATGTTGTAAGTCTTTACTACTACATTCCACGTTAAGAAAATAACATTGCGGAGATAGGGCCATGTATTTCTTATGGACGATAGAAACGCGGCGTTGCCACGACACACACATAAGCACAATTTAGGGTTGTATAATTTGTATTTTCGTTTCCACAGACATGAATTAAATTAATGTTTTTTAACGTAATTGACCAAAAGTGCCCATTAGAAACAAGAGATGAAAAGTAGGGAAAATGATTTTAATTAGATAAATAGTATTTACAAAAGATAATTTTATTTTATCTTATTTTAATTATAGTAACGACAGTTTATTTGTTTTTCGGTGAGCCATGAATCATAGAAATCAGTAGAAAATATTGCTTAGTTAAATCATGCATTTTGCCGCCTATTAACGTTTTTAAAGCAAATAAACGGACTTCGAATGCGTATATCTAATTACTAATTGCAACTTAAAATAATACGATTTGCGTATGTCAGCGATTTGTTTATTAGTTATTTAGTTATTCTGACTTTACAGTTAAATGTTAATTGAAAATGAAAATTCAAAAATTAAGCAAAGGGAATATCTTGGACATCCGTGCAAAAGGGAATGTCTGAGAGTTTTGGCAACACTTATCTCCATAAGCGTAATGTTATTTTCTTAACTTGAAACAAAGGTAACATGTTGAGTGTTACAAAATTGCGCCTGTCCCTCATTTTTAATAATAACATCACAAAACATAAAAGATATATGAACAGATGGGTTAGTTCAGTTAAAGAAAATTTTAAAGACTCAACAATAATTGAGGGGTGGGGGAAATACACACTTTATGAAAAGTTCTTACCTGTCTTTTCCATTTAGCTACAAAGGTCCAAGGTTCAATAGGACCATCCTCTTTATGTAAAACTTTCTCTGAAGAATACATATTACCAGATGACAGCTCTATGTAATGTTTAGCTTTCTGTTGAGCAGCTTCTTTGGCACAATTAAGACTAAGTTTTAATATGCCTTCATTATACACGGGATCTGTTTGACCAGACTTTGTTTCTCCAGCACAATTGACAACTATGTCCCAAATACCCCCTTCAGGTGGTTGGAAGGCATTCCTACATGATTCTATACTCAAAAAAGAAATGTTGTAAGTAAATTATGTTAAAATCAATGTGCAGTTAATATTAACTAGACAAGCGAAATTATATGATACAGATGTACATACATCCTAGGCCACATGAATATAATAAATGGCAAATTAAAACAAAGAATACAGTTGACAAAATTTTCATTTTGTTTAAACATCTCTTCAAAAAAAAAAACTGTACATTGTGGGTCTCATTTTAGGTCAATATTATCTGTCACTCATTCATCTAAAATAACGTAACCTAGCTCAACCTAATCTAAAACTCACATAATCACCTAATCTTCCTCGTATTACCCAATTTACCTCCAGCTACAGTTAGTTACAGATGCACACAGTTTCGAAGAGGTTAAAACATTCAAATATTTGGCAGTACTAGTCAACAGAAGAAATGAAAGTGTAGATATAAAAAGAAGAATTCAAGTGGGAAATACAGCGTTTTATAGAAATAAAAAAAAAATGTTTAAGAGATAAGAAGATAAGCCAAAACATAAAAATGAAAATCTACAAAACGACTGTAAGACCAATAGTAGTATATATGCTTCAGAAACATTTACATTAACAGTAAGAGAAGAAGAGCAATTGAAAGTTTTTGAGAAGAAGATTATCAGAAAAGTACTGGGACCAAAGAGGAAAAACAAAGAAGGTGGAAGAAAATGAATGAATCACAAAATACAAGAATGGATAAGTCAAGACAACATAGAGCAATAAAAGCACAAAAAATTAGATGGTATTGACACATAATGAGAAGAGAGAAGAGCAATATGTTAAGAGTTATAACGGAATGGAGACCACCAGGAAAAGTAACCAGAGGCAGACCTAAACTGAGATGGAGACAACAAGTGGAAGAACACTTAAAGAGTATAGAAAATAGAAAGGATAATCAAAGAGAGCTGTTTTCACTTGAAGATCCTTTTTGTGTGGGGGATCATCCCATTCTGGGTTTGGTTTTACAGTTTCTGGTGTGACTTCGCTGTTTCTAATACTTTTCTCCATTCTTCGCTCTCTTTGATAGTCCTTTCTATATTTCTATTTTCTATACTCCTTAAGTGTTCTTCCACTTGTCTCACAACAACTTCATGCATGGAAAGCATACTAAAGAATAATTTTTATATGTGTTTAATGAGTCTAAAGAAATTTCATTCATTCATTTTTCTATTGTGAAAAGACTTTCTGGAAAAGATGTATAATATGATTGTAAAATAATCATAGACTCCACCTATCCGGTTAAGTGTCAAGTGCACTCTAAATATGCACATTCTTACCTGCATTGATTAAATTAGCACTTTTAAATTGAACAATGTTATTTTGAAAGGCTTCTGTATGAGATTCATTTAACCAGGCAACCTGTGGAGGTACCTTATCCACTACTCTTATTGCACTAACGAGATCATTTTTGACTAAATATGCAACTAAATTGCGGCCAATAAAACCACAACCTGCAACAATATGAATTATTCTTAGATATCTATTAATATTTCATCAGATTATTTAGAAATTACCTCCAAGTATTAACACATTTGGTTTAGACATCTTGTTTGTATAATTGTATCTTATTATCACCGGATATTAGTCTTCACTAGCTTAAATTGATAAGAAGAGATAAAATAATTTTTGTTTGGTCGTTCCTCTTATCCTCATTCAAAACTAAAAAAAATTCTATGACTTGATCTTGATTTGACATCTGACAATTTTAATATCATGTCATATATGGAATATGGAATTAAATATTTAAAAGTGAAATAATGCATTATAACATGTTGATTTATTTAAAGAGTCTACTATAAACAATGGTATGATTTTTAAATTACCAAAGCAGTTATTTGGTTTTAAGGAGAAAGTATTTTATATGTTTTATATCAGATTCCAAAATACCCAGTCAAGCATACCACCAAACATACAAGCAACGACATAGTGTGTGGCGTGTATATGACGATAGGAAATACTATAAAATCATTGAGTTAGAATCTAGATTCTAATTTGATGTATAAAATTATAGTTTATATTAACGTATATTATGTATATATTTATAATTCCATTTCCACATGTTTTGGATGTTTTAAAGACTGATGTGACGCATTTAAGACTGAAGAAGGTGTTGGCTGTGCTGTTACAACGACTACAACCACCGTCAACTTGTTTCGACTCTTCAGCAATTGCAGTATATATACTGATAAACTATATAAATACTACAAGCGGTGAAAACTCCACTCCACGATGATAAAACTGGCTAATTGGTCTTTACCAAAGCCATCTAATTAAGTAAAAAAAAAAACGATGATAAAACTATAGCAATCTGTACGGACTCTCTGTCCTCCATGCAATCCATAAGAAACGTAGATTCTATCCACCTAATAGCTCAAGAAATACAGAGTATATGTAATCGTCTTCAAACTAATGGAATTACAGTAACAATGTGGGTCCCATCACGTTGGTATTCCAGGTAACGAAAAAGCCGATTAAGCAGCAAAACAAGCATGTTTTCTTAACGTAACAACATACATTCAAACATCATCAGATCTAAAAAGAACACTCAAACATAAAATAATGGACATTTGGAATGATCATTGAAAAATAAGCACTACCAAGTTAAGCGTTCTACAACCAAACATTTTCTACCATCAGCTCCCAGCAATGAAAAGAAAGGACAATCTATAATTCAAATATTGAGAATAGCACACACACGTCTTACACATGGACACATAATGAATTCCAAAAATCAGATTTTGTGCCAGTACTGCAACACCACGACTTCCGTAACACATGTACTTCTTGACGTGTTCTTGACTGTCAACATTACCTAGCGACCAGAAGAAAATACAATCTTGGAACAACCTAAAAGACATACTTATCTCAGCAACTATGAAAATGTATTAAACTTTTTAAACAACACAATGTTATACAATTTAATTTAAAACAAAATGTATTATAAAAAATGTATTGTAACTAACTTGTACCCAATATAAAGTATGTATTTATCATGTAAACACGAATGTAAATTGTACCTGTGCCAATGACCATTAGCTGTCGAGACACATATTTTTGAAATAAAAAAAGACTGATGTAAAAATATTGATACTCAACAGAATGTAAAATAGATTCATTATAGAACAAATTCTTATTTATTAATTTTTTTTAAATTAAATTATTATTAAATTAAATAAATTTTTAAACAGAATTTTTGTGGAAAAATCTCATAAACAATCCTAGAATTATTGTGTTCTTTATAGAGCCTTGAATAAATAATCATTATCCTTCAAATAAAATGCATCTGCATACCTATACATCCAAATAAGCTACTCCCAAACAGCACAGTACGTTTTAAGTACGTACGTACATGATGTACAATGTACGTTTAAGTACGTACACTGATGTACATACTAGTACGTACAGAAGAGTACGTACTAGTACGTCTTAGGTATGTACCATGAGTAAGAAGAGTTAAAGCACAGTATCTATACTGTGGTTAAAGCATATTTATTATGTTAGGTTATGTTAACCTTACCTAATTTATTTAGTTAGGAATTATCCACCTCGAGTACAGTTTTGATGTGATAACTCATTGCAAGACAGTTTCATTTAGATTTTTTTTACTTATTTTTGGTGTTTGGTGCTTATAGTGTGGTTTCCTTTTATTTTATTCAGTCGAGTGTTTTTTGTGTCAAAAATGTAGTGATAAGAAGCTGGCGGAGCAAACAATTGGACGATGGTTGAAGAGAGTCGGGGATCGCTTAAAAACTTTCTTTCTTATTTTTAAAAGAATAAAAATTGAATTTATTTAACAAAAAAATAAAAATATATTCACCTATATTTACTTTTATTTACATAAATCATCATAAGTGTATATAGTATGTACATAATATGTATATATAGTATGTATTAAGTACATACCTTCAATACGTACTAGGTACGTACCTTCAGTACGCACTAGGTATGTACCATAATTTGGAAAATGTACGTTTTATGTACGTATTAAGTACGTATTTCGTACAGCAAAGTACGTACATTGTACATACTTTATGTCCCATCAGTACGTACCTAGTTTGTCTTATGTACGTACTTGTGCTTACTGGGCTTAAACGATAATAATTTCGTGAAGATTTTCTGACCATTTCCAAATGGTTTATATAATCTGGACTATCTCTAACACCCAATTATAACGAATGTCCTCTATACAATCATCAAAGTTTGCATGAAAGATATCTAGTGTATCAGTTTATGTAACAATAACGTATTCAATAACAGGAAGAATTTACTTACCATATGACTTATCCATAATGCCCTGATTAGACGAGGATAGTTTTTCAAGCTAGGATAGCAAGCTAGCGTTTTTAAACTAGCAAGCTAGTATTACTAGCTTCATGTATACAGAACGAGCTTCGCGTATAAGCTAACTAAAAATTGGTCGAGTTTTTATCGTATATTAATTCACTTCATAGTCATATTGAGTTTACAATGGATACAGAATAAAATCAATCCATAAATTTTTTAGATTTAAAAATTATCAGACTTACAAACAAACATGACTTCTCCATATTTCATAAACCTACCCATACTGACACGACTATACACAATTCATTATCCCATCCCACACAACATAAACTGGCAGCCTATCATAGTATGTTACATAGATTAACAGAAATTCCGATGTCAACATATATCTTTGAGACAGAATTAAATATCATTAAGCAAATAGCAGAAAAGCAATGGATACAACGAACAAACGATTAATAAAATTTTAAATAAACCTACACAACAAAGCCCTGAAATTAGTATTTCCACCACCAGAGAAAAAACCGAGTACCTTTTGCTCGATTACATATACGGGCAAAATATCAACAAAAATAGCCAAACAGTTAAAAAAGAAAGGAATAACATCAGCTTTTAGAACAAATATCAACTTGGGCAAATATATTAAAAACAACAAGAGCCAACATAAAAAGAACTTGGCGACTGCACAAAAACTTACATCGGCCAAACTGATAGAAATTATAATAAGCGAATAGCAGAACATAAAAGGCTTTCAATAATAGAAAAATATATTCTACATACGCACTTCACCTTCAAGATCATAATCATTCGTTTAATGACGAATTTAAAATTCTTCACATTCAAAATAAAGGCCTTAAGCTGTCTTTGTTAGAATCTATGGAAATTAAAAAATTAAAAAACAGTAATTGTAACATTTTTTTTATAATTAAAATATTAAATTATTTTTAATCCCTTTACCCCTGTTTCCTGAGACGCCCATGGCAGTATTTGCAAATATATACGCGGGTGGTCGTGTTTACGATTAGGAAATTTTATTGCAATCTACCGACTACTTCAAATTACTGACGAATATATTTATTTACTTATAGACGATGGTTTAAGTAATCCTCGGTTAATTCTTTCCGACTTTAAGACGGGTTTCTGTTTGATACTTTGGCAAACAAAATCGTCGAAAGCATTTTATGGTATGTTTCTGTAAAAACCTAATCCAAAAAGATTTGTATTTCATCACGTTTCTAGCTAGAAGGGTACCGTTATTTTCAATGTTCGTTAAACCCTTACCTTCTTAGAAATACATACTGTCTGGCCTGTCATTTTTAAGTGGAAGTTACCCCACTCTTTTTTGGGGGAGCTTGTGAAATTTTTAGAGGAACCACATTACTTCTGGCAGGGCAGTCTTTGCGTAAAAACGTTCGCCATATCTTACAGTCTTTGTTCTCGGTGAATTTGTGTAAGTGTGTATACATTTAAATATTTGCGTATCTTAATCAAATACCACATTAAATTAAATATTGGTATAGAGTACCTTTTAATTTAATTAACTTCAGTGCTTGATACAAGTATAGTATGTAGAATCAGTGTAGTGCAGCAGTCATCGAGAATTACTGTAAGTTATCATAATCATAGTTTCTTCAATTATCTGGGCGAATCTACGTTCAACCATTTCTTCACCTGTAGTTAAGGTTAACTACTGATTTAACAGTTGAGTTTAAAGAACATTTAATATTTTCTTACGAACTTTCCATCAGCTATTAAGAACTTCTAAATAACGAACATTTAATTCTCAGTTAATCATTAAATAACCGTGCGAGGTAGATAATTAACTAAGACCAAGTGCGGGTTGGTTTAATTTTTATAATACAGCATTCTGGTAACCTTTTTGTATTCTTGTGAACTTAAATTTGATTAATTTTTATTATTTGCTATAACTGTTATACATTTTTAACCGGGCATCTCGAGATACGCCCATTAATCAGCAAAGAGAGACTTTCTTTAATCAACTTTAGTTGAATATTTTTAAATAGCATCAGCCTCTCTTCGCTGATAATTTAAACTGTGCATGATTTTGATATTTTGTATTAGTAAAGGTAGTTATTATTCATAAAACTGTCTATTTTTATATGTATACCATCATTTAATAATTGATAATGTATTTTTATTACTTGTGTGTACCTTCAGCCGCCTATATCATTGTGTAGTTGAATATATTGTTTTGTTTTATGTATGAATTTTATTTGTCGACTCCTAACAAGTTTTCTGAAATAGCAATACCTCTGAATATTTGCTTATTATATTAAATTATTATTATACCTTCGACCAGAAGAAAGATCAGGCTGATTAAGTTTCGTAGGTAAGTAGGCGAACGGAGCCCACCTAATATA